TCCAACGGCAGACCAACATACAGTAACTACTACTGTATTTATATGAATGGGGACATACCAATCATCGTCCGTAGGTATTCTGCAACAATTAAATATATATGCCACACTGATGAGTCTGTAAATGACAATATATATATATATATATATATATATATATATATATATATATATTATTTACATTATTCGGACTATCTTCATCTTTGTTGTCATATTTATCATAATGTTTCGGCCGTTGTACGCTTCGGCCTTCTTCAGGTGGGAGGAATTTCGAAATGAAACCTTTATTTCGCTCGCTGGAACAGACTGTTCTAGTTTCACGTGCCATGTCTAATCTCCATGTCTTATCTCCTCTAACCAACGCCTTTATGCACTGTGCCATGTGTTCTTTGTGATAAATATGGCAACAAAGATGAGGGCAATAGTCGAATAATGTAAAGAGTGAACATAATAACTCCTCTAGGCTATATATATATATATATATATATATATATATATATACCTCTCCAAGTTCTCCATTGCTTTAACCAGGTATTGAACCCACAACACTTTGGGTCATGTCACTTGATCTAACCAATCTAACTAAATATAAAAATATATATATATATATATATATATATATATATATATATATATATATATCACTTAAAAAGTATTTTCGTTTATCGCTTTAAATATTAGCGAAATATTATTAATTAATATTCAAGCCGGTAGACGGTAATAAATAAATATAATGTTTCATAATTAAAAAGAGAGTATTTGTCTATATTTCTGAGATGAGGTATTATGTACACTATTTACATTATTCGGATTATTGTCCTCATCTTTCTGGCTATATTTCTCAGATGAGGTATTATGTAAACTATTTACATTATTCGGACTATTGTCCTCATCTTTCTGTCTATATTTCTGAGATGAGGTATTATGTACACTATTTACATTATTCCGACTATTGTCCTCATCTTTCTGTCTATATTTCTGAGATGAGGTATTATGTACACTATTTACATTATTCCGACTATTGTCTTCATCTTTCTGTCTATATTTCTGAGATGAGGTATTATGTACACTATTTACATTATTCCGACTATTGTCCTCATCTTTGTCGCCATATTTATTACAATGTTTCAGCCGTTGTACGCTCCTGCCTACTTCAGATGTTTGGAATGTCGAACTGAACCTTTTATTTCACACACTGGGGTAGACTGTTCGACATTCCAACCACCTGAAAAAGGCCCGAGCGTAAAATGGCCGAAACGTTGTAATAAATATGGCGACAAAGATGAGCACAATAGTCCGAATAATATAAATAGTGTACAGAGAGTCTATTCAAATATGGGTATCAATTAAAAATATCTATTTTTTTGTCGGTAAATCAGTTTCTATGGATTATCTAGTGCCAAAATCTAAATATTTTATACGCAATTTTAAAATTTCAGGTTAACGTTTATTTTTAGATACATACCGGGGTTGGACAAAATAGTTGAAATATTTGTTAAATTCAAAGAAAATTTATGTAATATGGAATTGGTCCTCCTTTAGACTCACAGACAGCTTTAATACGACTAGGAGTCGAATCATACAGCTTCCTGACTTCATCCAGAGGAATTTTCAGTAATTCTTCCATTAAAACCTTCTCCAGCTCTTTACGACACGATGGTAGAGGATAGCGGTTCCTAACTTGTTGCTCCAAAATGCACCACAAATGTTCAATAATATTGATATCTTGAGATTGGGGAAGCCACTCCATGTGTTCTAGCTCACTTTCATGCTCTTCATACCAATTCTTAACCACTCGAGTGGTATGTATTGGAGCATTACCGTCTTGGAAGGTGCAGTCACCATCAGGGAATAAAGTCTTGGACATTGGATGAACATGATCTCCCAAAATGTTCCGGTAATCTTTGCTGTTGATTCTACCATGCAGGGCAACTATTGGACTGAGACATTTCCATGATATGGCGGCTCAAACTATCACTGATCCACCTCCATGCTTCACTGTTGGAAGAAGGCAGTCAGGATTGTAAGCTTCTTTGGGCTGCCTCCACACATTAACTCGCCCTGAAGTTGGGAAAAGAGAAAAACTGGACTTTTTTTAGGAATATGACTTGCTTCCATTCTTCTGCAGACCAAGCATTGCGATCTCTGCATCACTTCAACCTCTTTTGAATGTTGTGAGTGGAGAGAAGAGGTTTCCTCACAGCGGCTCTTCCATGATATGCAGCCTTATGGAGCTCACGGTGAACAGTTTTAGTAGAAATTGAACTATTTAGATGGTTATTCAACTCAGCAGTCACTTTGGCCGCATTTGTCCGATGATTTTTTGATACAATGCGTTTCAATGCACGTCAGTCCCTGTTAATAAGTTTGCAAGTCCGGCCCGAATTGCTACGGTTGCTAGAGGTCTTGCCCTGTTTCTCGAATTGCATCAGTGTTCTTGATATGGTACCTCTTGAAAAACCAAACAGTTCAGCAACCTTAGTGATCGAGGCTTCTGCCATGCGAGCTCCAACAATTTGCTCTTTTTCGAACTCGGAGAAGTCACGCACTTAGCTTGAATTTTAAAAATTCTTAAAATAAATAAGACAAAGACAGTAAATTTGATAAATAAATGTATTTACAATAGATATAACTTGCAATTACGAAGTTTTAGTTAAACTTCTTAATATAATAGGTCTTTGAAATATACGAATGGATTTTGCAACTGTACCAATTATTTTTACAACCTCTGTAATTTGTAGTTGATAAAAAGTATTGTTGGTAATTTAATTATAAAATGTACTGTTGATTTTTTTTGTGCTTTAGTATTTGCTATTACCTCGTTACTACTCCTCCTCAAAACCTCGTATTTCCCAATCAGTGGCCTTACTGCCGACTGGAGTTTGTCGTCATACCCAGGACGACACTAAAAACAACGTTTAACTGATAAAATATGTCGGATTAAAAAAATCCATTACTGCTTTAGAAATATATATATATATATATATATATATATATATAATCCCCTCTCCAAGTTCTCCACTGCATTTACCAGGTATTGAACTCGCACACACACACACACACACACATATATATATATATATATATATATATATATATACGATTTGAAGACAGTATCACAGCTCCTGCGACTAGCAAACCGAATACCTCAAGCACGGATCGAAATCCAACCGATATGGTGTCAGTCAGTCTTCACTCGACTGAATGTGTCAGCCAAATCTAGCGTATTGTTTTTATAAACGTAAGCAAACGCCAAGCAGCCATAGTGCTCCATTTATTTTACTAAAGAGCTTTGCCTTTACGCAGGTGGCTGTTGTTTTTAAAATTAGCTTGTCATTCAACAGTACTCAATTGAAAATATATTTTCAAGAATTAAATTATGTCATTCGCAGACAGTATGTGTGCGTGTATATAAGTTCAAAGTCTTTAAACATACAAAGAAATAAGTTCATATATATATATATATATATATATATATATATATATATATTAAGACATTTTTACGTTTATACATTCTTTTTATAGATACAAATATTTAAGTAAATGCTCTTTTTATAATAAACAGTATTAAACAACATTTACCGGCCCGAATGTCCGAGAAATTTTCACAGAAAATATTTCTCCTCCGACAGGATTCGAACCTGTATTTTATACGGAACCGTCATTTAGCTTGACGTACCTTTACTGATTTGGCCACAGAGGCGCGTTCGATTAGCAACGTCGAATATTTTCGAATATTTCTACATTCGTTGTGACTGATTTATTTTTTGTCTGTTTATGAAATTGATTTTGACCATTTCCGGTCTTCACTCCTTTGCTGTGATCAATTTTCAATCAGAGAAAATGTCGCCATTTACAACCGTCAAACTAAAATTTTATGTGACATTCTTTTTTTATACATACTTCAATATACCATGAACTATGGATAAAGATGCCCTATTTAATGTGTTGTTTTAAAACGTATTGTTTGTTCTGATCTTGTTGAATAATCGCTAAAAAAATTTATAGACAAATCATACAGATGCATGCTGGGATTTCTTCCTAACCAAAAAAAAAAAAAAACTCCTCGGTCTCATCCGCCATGTTTTTGTTATTTCTTGTTTTGGTGGTAGAACGCAGCAATCATTTGACTGTATCCCTTTTCCATGTTAACACCAGTGAACTTTTTTGCCCTCTTACCGTTGATCTACCGAGGTTTGGTCTTATTATATGTAGTGGTTGCCTAATAGCTTTTTGTCATGTTCTTTTGTTAGATTTTTTTTTATTGATTATTGGAAAATTGGACAATTCCGTTTGTTGGCCATTTTTTGCCAATTGCACTTAACCTAGACCAATTAATCTGCAAATCTTCTAGGATCTGTAATCCCTATCCACATTGACAATATAAAAAATTACTAATCGAAAACAGAACAATTCTACACCATGAAAACAACAAATTCAGATTACAGATACTTGTAGCAATTAATATTAAAATTAAAGCCGGCACTGTTCGAGTGTACAAATGGATTCTGTTAAAAATTAGCAGACATAATGTCTTTAATTTATTAAATCAGACATGCCTAAAAAATAAGAATATATATATCGAAAAAAAAAATCGATTCTCCCGTCGGTTTCGACGTATGAGGGTCAAGCAGATCAGTTTTCCAGGAAACTGACAGCCCGACACCGGCACATGAGATTCGATTATAGTGGTGAAGGTTTCGTGCAGGATCATCCGCACTTTTTGAAGGGCCGAATACAGAAACCTGGTCCACTACGTGCCACAAGGTCCCCAAACAACCCCCCTCAGGTTTTGAATTCAGAGTTGTCCTTCTTCTAGAACAGTTGCCATCCAAGGCTATAGAACCCAGTCTATCCTGCTATTTTGCCCATAGGTGGAGTGAGAAGAAGAGGATTCACACCTTTCCCAAGGGTATTAGCACGTAAGTGAGTGTAATGGATTCAACGCGGATTCGAACTCGGCTCTGCGTTTCCTCAATCCGAGCCGATAACCATTACTCCACCGTGCCTCCATAGATAGATAGATAGATAGATAGATAGATAGATAGATAGATAGATAGATAGATAGATAGATAGATAGATAGATAGATAGATAGATAGATAGATAGATAGATAGATAGATAGATAGATATGATTCAGCAGTAAAGTGAACGTTAGAGAGTTTCTCTCGAAAACCAGTTCAAGAATTAGTTCACAGCTTGGTATTATTTCTAAACATGTTGGAGCTCAAACAATAGTGGCCGTGTGCCTGTTTATATGAAACGTAACTCTGTTTTTTCTTTCCCTTTTCCAGTCTTGTGTTTCACTATATGAGTCTATATTACAGCTTTTTTTTTCTCAAATATAATTTTCTAGAAATTCTTTCCTTTTCCGATAACATAATGCAATAATCGCACGCAGAAACTTTAAATAAGTATGAATCCCGTTCAACAGTATTGGGCCCATTTCCAGTTTTCTCACAAGCCACCTGGGGTCTGCTACGCACTAGCTTATACATCCATCTCCCATTCTGGTTTTACAGCTTCGATAAAGAATAATTTCCGGTAAAAGTTTGCGATCAGTAATGTTGATAATTGATTTAGTGTTATAGTCGTCTGATAACTGAAGTGGAGAGCTGCGATTTGGAATTGACTGATTATAGCATTGTTCACTGCAATCGATAGCTGATTTGGCCAATTTTGCAACCATTGCGTCGTCGCCATGAAGTACACATTGCGGACCGAATGTGTCATGAGAATTTGTGCAGCCATCTTGAAATTAGATATCCGTTTGAGTGCGCCTTAGTGGGAACCAGTCACACTTGACATCAAGATTAAAACCTTCAACGAGATACGAAGCCATGCGTTTATGAAACGTGTTCGCTGACGGATGCTCTAGGGTCAATATTGCGATTACTGTATTACAATTATTGGTTGAGCAGCGAGTTTCGATCTAGACCGAGTACTGTTACTCGAGGCTAAATTAAAACAAAGCTTAGTTGATAATCGTAGAAAGATAAGGGCACTTGATGTTCATGATAGAGGACTCGAGGCTTAGTATATATATATATATATATATATATATATATATATATATATATATATATATATATATATCATCAAATGGATAAATATAGGTAAATGTAAGGGCAAGCGTTCGTGTACACACACACACACACACACATACACATATATATATATATTTTGTTGAATGGATGTGAATTTATGATGCTGAGTTTCACGCTATTTCCGATCGTCAAACAATCTGATTAGTTTTTAAATTTGGGATCTATATGTATGGTTGCGGATATTGGTGTTTTTATGGAAGTGGGAGGAACAAATTGTCGTCGGAACGCCACTTGTACGTACGCAGACATACATACACGTACTATCAGGCATTGTAGCTCACACAAACATAAACATGTATGAACAGTGTGGGACTGGCCGTATATGTGCATCAATGTGGTCGTTGCGTACATACGTACGCAATTGGTCACTGCATTCAATGTTGGATTGTCTAGCGAACTACTTTGGTCAGTCGTTGTGTCAACGCGTAAACCGTTCGTCTGTTTTGTTTGGGGAATAATGCTCTCTCTCTCTCTCTCTCTCTCTCATACACACACACACACACACACACACACATATATATATACACATATATATGTATGCACGCGCGTTCACATATATATTAGCTTTATCACTGATATTGAGCGCTTTCTAATACGTAGCGCGCATATATATATATATATATATATATATATATATATATATATATATATATAAAGTCAACACTCAGAGGTGACAGAATGTTTCATGCTAGATACAATCGTCAGGCCTCCTGACAATTATAGCGTCTAGCATGAAACAGCCTGTCGCCTCTGAGTGTTGAGTTCAATGTACGCTATTATATTTATATTTACATACGCTCTGTTTCTGATATAGAGCACTTTATCGCATAAATGTAGCACAACATGAAACTATATATATATATACAATTTACACACACACACACACACACACACACACACATATATATATATATATATATATATATTATCGTAAAAAAAAGAAAGAACAATAAGATATATAATCCGGTGTTCTTATTGATATTTTTTGTTACAAAACAGTGCTCAATGTAAATTTACTGAGCATAAATATTATAAATTAACTGATTTAAAAATATGGCTTCATCGCTACACAGGAATTACCATGTTTCAAAAGCAGAAACTAACAACTTCAAATTCAATTATGTAATTAAATTAAATTAAATTAAAAGCACTAGTTCTGTTTCATTTTCAAACGAATTTTGGAATAACTTTGAAATTTACTGAGTTTTAAAAGCACGCACATTCATAATATTTGTTTCCAAGGATACAGAGAAATCCAATCATTTAGATAGGGCCGGTAGCGTGTTCATTTTTTATTAACAATCATTGTATCAAATATGAGTTACTTTCGATAAGAGGTTAATTCTAGTTAGAGTAGGGGTGCATTTTTTAACGAATTATGACATCCGTTCAACGCATGTCGTCTGTTTCTTTTTTTTATCACCGACAAAAAAGTTTTCGGCATTTTTATCCGTTAAATTTTTACATACGTACATAAAGATTCTTTCTAAAAGGGGAGATTAGAATATATTGTATTGAACTACAATTTTACAATATTATTTTTACTTTTAATTACTAAATTACTATATTTCATTTTAAAACAAATAAATATAATGGAATTACTTAAATTATTTAAAAATTATTATTAAATATCAAATATAAGTATGTATATTACTATTATTATTAAATATCAAATATTACGTCTTTTTTAAAATATCTAAGGAAAGTTTTTGATAATGTCGGCAAAGAATAGCTATTTCATTTCTTTGATTCAGTAAATTTTTATTTTTTATAAACCTAGTAATATATAGTTTCTCATCTATGCACAAAGGACATGGACCATTTAATGACCTACATATTCTAGATTTTCTTATTAATTTCCATTTTACTATAGGTGTTTTATTAGTTTCTTTTAAGTGCCAGAAATATTTCGATAGGGACATCTGATTTCGGTATTTATCCATCCTAAATGAACTTTGATGATGATTGAATCTTTACTTAAACTCATGGCCTGTGCATCCAATATAGACTGTTACGTTCTGCAAATTCTAAATAGATAAGATATTGTATTGGTATACTAATGATTCCGTGCATTTATTTTTTAGAGGACAGGTATATATATATATATATATATATATATATATATATATATATATATATATATATTATGTTTATACGTTCTTTTTATAGAAACAAGTATTTAAGTAAATGCTCTGTTTATAATAAACGGTATTAACGACATTTACCGGCCTGAATGCCCGAGAAATTTTCATAGAAAATATGCGTCCTACGAGAGGAATCGAACCTGTATTCTATACGGAATTGTCATATAGCCTGACGTGCTTTAACCGATTGGGCCACAGAGGAGCGTTCGCATGGTCGATTTTACTGCTCCTATAATTGTCGGACTTTGTTCATTTCATAATATATACATACACACACACACACACACACACACACACACACACACACATATATATATATATATATATATAATTTGTATATATTATATTATATATGTACATGGGCGCGGTAATTATTAGAAAGTACTCAATATCAGTGATGCAGTTCACATATTTAGTTGTATGGATATGAGTTTGTAACCCTGGGTTCCCCGCTTTTGCGATCATCAGACAAATGATTGCAAATACGTAAATCCCAGAGTTAAACTCATATCCATACAAATTCATATCCCTTCAACTATATACAAAATCATATCCATACAAACTCATATCCATACAACTATATTAAATTAAATTCATATATTCGACGCAAACTGATAAAGATTTTACCTTAACAGTCATTCACAGTATTAATATATTACTATTAATTTTTTTTTATTAATATGTTATTCGTCTTTTATTATATTAAATCCTTAATTTATTTGTGGAGAAGTTTGAATATTTAAATACCTAACAAGCATTAAATTCAATTTCTTTGTAGAGTTTTTTTTTAAACATTTAAATTACTATCAAACGTTAAAATCTGTTTTTATCTAAATTGCTAGTGATGCCACACTTCTCTTTCCTCCAAAAACCCTACGTAGATCTCTAATCTCTTGAACCCCCCCACTTTGTTTCTTTTTCCCTTGTTTCTTTTTTCTTTTTTCCTTTTCCCATATCAACTCCGTTAAGTTGACCGATTAAATAGGTCACTTTCTGATCATTACCCGCTTTTTCCTCAATATTACATATTGTAATAAAAAGAAATATAAAGATAAATTTAAACACTCCCTTCCCTCTCTAGACTCGACCATGTCCCTCAAACCATTCCTCATCACCCTCTAATTCAACTAATATAAGCGTAATAGTGCCCGTCAAAAATGTAAATTTTAAATTCATTTTTCGTTTCCCTTTTGAAAGTGAAGTCTGAAGATCCAGAAAAAATAAAATTCTCTGGTGAAAAAATGATTACAATGGAGCCTTAAAGCGGTCTGTTTTTCATTTAAATTAAATTAAATTAAATATATATATATATATATATATATATATATATATATATATATATATATATATGTGTGTGTGTGTGTGTGTGTGTGTGTGTGTGTGTGTGTGTGTGTTTGTGTGTGTGTGTGTGTGAAAAGTGTATATAAATATAAATAAATATATATATGTATAATTATTTATATATTATATAGTTTGTCTGACGATCGCTAAAGCGTGAAACCCAGGGTCACAAACTCACATCTATCCAACAAAATATATATATATATATATATATATGTGTGTGTGTGTGTGTGTGTGTGTGTGTGTGTGTGTGTGTGTGTGTGTGTACGATAGCCACAAACTAACATCAACGCAAATTAAGTATGTTAGCTCTGTCATTGGTATTGAGCGCTTTCAATAAGTACCACTGCATATATAATATATAAATATTATATATGAAAATTGCATATATATATATATATATATATATATATATATATATATATATATTACTCTACAGTCTAAGAAAAACAGTGTTAATTGCTGAATAACAGAGGTGTTTAATATATAAAAATATACCTAATAATCTACATTGATTGTACAACACGGATTTTCATGCCTTCTACAATCGTCAGGTGCAAATTTTGTGGGTTAACACCACTTGTTTGATTATGGCGAGATATTTAATTGTTCGTGTAGATTATTATTATTGTTAATTATTTAAATAAATTGTAGTTAAATTTGGATTTGAATCAAAACCCAGATTAACATTTAAGATTGATTTGAAAATAAGAATGAAAATAAAAATTATAAATTTTAGTTTAAAAACGGACGCTGTTGTTATTTAAATGATGGTTGAAAACTATTTTTCATATGAAAATCAATAAAGTATTTGATAATATTATTAATAAACTTAATAATATTAATAAGATATGCAGTGACAAATTAAAATTAATCTCAGAGGTCGAATTCAACGCCTGAGGGTCAATCAGATCATTTCCTAGGAAACTGACAGCCCGACACCAGCACATGAGATTTGATTATAGTGGTGAACGTTTTGTGCAGAAAAATCCACACTTTTTTGGAGGGCCGAATACAGAGACTTGGTGCACTACGTGCTACAGTGTCCCCAAACGCAGGTTTTTGATTTCAGAGTTGTCCTTCTCCTAGGCCAGTTGCCATCCAAGGATATAGTCTGTTCTGCTATTTACTCATAGGGGGAGAAGAAGAGGATCCATAC